TTGATGATTGACACGTGGCAAATGGGGGTGAAAATATCAATAATGTAATTATTTGGGGGTGGTTGTAACAATCTACCCCCTTACAATAATTTCGTCCTCGAAATTACAATTTACACAAAAAGAAAGGGATACTGGCTCTGCATTGATTCCTCAGTCTCCCAAGTAGCTTCTTCGATTGCATGGTTCCTCCACAGTACCTTTACCAAATGAATAACCTTGTTCCGCAACACCTTATCCTGCCTGTCAATGATTGCCACTGGTTCTTCTACATAGCTAACATCCGGATTTACTTCCAATGGCTCTATCTGGATGATATGAGAAGGATCCGGTACGTATTTCCGAAGCATGGAAACATGGAAAACGTTATGGATCTGTGACAACTCCGGTGGTAGCTCTAACCTATATGCAATTGCACCAATCCTCTCAATAATCTGATAAGGACCAACATATCGAGGACTCAGCTTTCCTCGCTTCCCAAAACCAACAACACCCTTCCAAGGAGATAACTTCAAGAACACAAAGTCGCCCACTATATACTCATGATCCTTGGAGTGTTTGTCCGCAATACTCTTATGTCGGTCCTGAGCTGCTTTCAAGTTCGCCTTAATCAAACGGATATTAGCGTTGGTGGTATCCACAATCTCTGGTCCCACCAATGGCCTTTCTCCTGCCTCTGTCTAACATAATGGCGTCCTACACGCCTTCCCGTAAAGTGCTTCAAAAGGCGCCATACCAATACTCGAATGATAACTATTATTATAAGCAAACTCTACCAACGGCAAATAGTTATCCCAACTACCTTTCCACTGCAATACAGACACTCTCAACATGTCCTCTAAAGTCTGAATCGTCCGCTCGGACTGACCATCAGTTTGTGGATGATAAGCAGTGCTGAACCGTAATTGAGTACCCATAGCGGCATTAAAGGCTTTCCAGAACCTTGAAGTAAATCTGGGATCTCTGTCTGACACAATGGAGACGGGTACACCATGCAGACGAACAATACTATCCACAAATAATTTCGCCAATTTCTCCAGTGAGTAGGTCTGTCGAACTGGTAAGAAATGAGCGGTCTTGGTAAGCCGATCAACAATTACCCAAATACCATCATACCTTGACGGTGTTCTAGGCAGCCATTATACAAAGTCCATAATGATATCCTCCCACTTCCAAACTGGTATCGGAAGGTTCTGCATCAATCCCCCCAGGTCTCTGCCTGTCTGCTTTAACCTGCTGACAGATTAAACATCTGCTCACATACTCTGCTACGTCCCGTTTCATCCCTTCCCAGTAATAGAAAGGATAAATGGTACGATACAATTTAGTACTCCCTGGATGCATAACATAAGCTGAAGTATGAGCCTCATCAAGAATTTCCCTCTTAACCACTTCATTATCTTTAGACACGAACAAACGATTTCCTTTAAATAACGCTTCGTCCTCACGGATGATGAATTTATCGTTCTTCCCTTTCAACACTTGTGCCTTTATCGCGTCGCATTATGGATCAAGTTCCTGAGCTTTCTATGACCATATCAACAAAAATAGGTCTAACCTGAAAATGTGCTAGCCAAGCTCCATGCTTACCCGGTTCCAAATTAAAACCCATTTCCCGAAGAGAAAATAGTAATGGAACGTGCATAGTCTGAAGTGATGCAAGCTGCTCGTGATGTTTCCGACTAAGAGCATCAGCCACGGCATTAGCATGCCCAGGATGGTACTCGATCGAACAATCATAATCACTAATAAGCTCCATCCACCTTCTCTGCCTCAAATTTAGTTCCTTCTTGGTGAACACATACTTAAGACTTTTATGATCCGTAAAAATACGACATTTCTCTCTATACAAGTAGTGTCTCTAAATCTTCAAAGCGAAAATCACCGCTCCTAACTCCAAATCATGAGTGGGATAATTTCTTTCATGAGTTTTGAGCTGTCTGGAAGCGTAGGCAATAACCTTTCCATGCTGCATCAGTACACACCCAAAACCTAATAGAGAAGCATCAGTATACACCTCAAATTCACCACTGTCATCTGGCAGAGCGAGAATAGGGGCTTGAGTGAGGCGTCGTTTAAGCTCCTGAAAACTTTGCTCACGATCTTCATCCCACACAAATTTAACACCCTTACGAGTCAACTTAGTAAGAGGTAAGGAAATTGCAGAAAAATTCTGAATAAATCTCCGATAATACCCTGCCAAACCCAGAAAACTTCTTATTTCAGTAACACTCTTTGGTTGTTCCCAGTTAGATACTGCTGACATCTTTTGGGGATCCACACTAATTCCTTTAGCAGAAACTATATGGCCAAGAAAACCAACCTGAGTTAACCAAAACTGGCACTTACTGAATTTGGCATAAAGTTGTTCGTCCCTCAGTTGTTCCAGCACTAGTCTCAATTGCTTCCTGTGCTCCCTCGCACTTTTAGAGTAAATTAGAATGTCATCAATGAACACAATCACAAACTGATCCAGATATGGTCTAAAAACTCTGTTCATCAAATCCATAAATGCTGCAGGCGCATTTGTCAATCCGAAAGGCATGACACGAAATTCATAATGTCCATACCTTGTACGGAAAGTAGTTTTCGAGACATCATCCTCGCGAATCCTTAACTGATGGTAACCCGATCGAAGATCAATTTTGGAAAATACTTGAGCACCTTTCAACTGATCAAATAGATCATCGATCCGAGGTAGAGGGTAACGATTCTTCACCGTTACCCGATTCAGTTGCCTATAATCGATACAGAGTCTCATCGATCCATTCTTCTTTCTCACAAAAAGAACAGGAGCTCCCCATGGGGAAGTACTCGGCTGGATGTAACCCTTGTCTACCAATTCCTGGAGTTGAATCTTCAATTCTCTCAATTCTGCTGGTGCCATTCGATAAGGTGCCAAGGAAATACGATTGGTACCTGGGAGTAAATCGATAGTGAACTCAATTTCCCTTGCAGGTGGCAATCCCGATAAATCATCAGGAAATACATCGATGAAATTCCTTACAAGTAGCACATCTTCAGGACGCAAAGAAGGTTCATCCTTCACCACTACGTGGGCTAAAAATCCCACACAACCCTTATTCAGCAACCTTGTCGCTTGAATGGCAGAAATAATACTATTAGGGAGGACACATCGCTCACCCATAATTGTCACTGCTGGAAGTCCCGGCCGATTGAACGTCACAGTTTTCTCCCAACATGCGACATTCGCTCGGTGCTTAGATAACCAATCCATTCCCAGAATGACATCAAACTCCGCCAGTTTGAAAGGAATTAAATCAACCTCTAAGTTTTCCCCTTCCACAATAACTGGACAATTCTGATATTTCCATTGAGCACAAAATAATTCACCACTTGGCATTTGGATTAGCATATCAAAACCTAGTGACTGAGGTTCAGAAGGCATAACCCGAGCAAAAGATGAAGAAACAAAAGACTGCGTAGCACCCGGATCAATTAAAACTCTAGCCCAAGTATTACTGACAGGTAACGTACCAGTAATAACTCGAGGATCCTGATCAGCCTCCTGCTGAGTCATGGCGTTCATACGCCCATGAACCTGACCGCCACAACCTCTGGAGTTTCGTACTGCTCTGCTCCCCTGACTACTGCTACTAGAAGATGTTCTAGCCTGCTGCTGAGTCGAAAACTGAGTACTTCGGCTGTCACTTCTTCTGAAACTCTGACTACCTCTGCCACCAAGCTGCGGACCTCTATTTCCCCCGAAGTTCTGGTTAGAACTGCTACCATAACTCTGACTACTACTGCCACTGCCATCATAGCTCTGTTGAGCGCCAACATTCTGAACTGGCCGATATCCATTGTAGTTTGAGTTAGAGGAAAGTTACCAGGTGGTGCTGAAGGACAATCACGAACAAAGTGTCCGGTCCCACCGCATCTGTGACACACTACAGACGTCATCCCACAACTCCCTCGATGACGTAACCCACAATGATCACAGACTGCATAACCTGGAGTGAAGTGACTGAAAGATCGCCTCGCTGATTCGCTGCCTAAGCCCTAACTGGAGGACCCGGAACCCCGACCTGGTCGCTTAAAGGAAAAAGAATGTCTGGGGCCTACAGAACTGGAAGGGCCCGCTGATTCTCTGGTACTCCGTGACTGGAAATTCTGATTCCTCTGATTCTGACTCCGCTGTCTATTCTGTCTCTGGGGCTAGATCCAAGTCTGTGGCTGATCCTGCATCTCTGTATCCCACTTAGACTGTTCTATGCTCAGACTTATTTCGATTATATCCTCATAGGTTCTGGGTCTCTGAGCAGCTACCAGTGTACGGTACTCCTGATTTAGCGCAATTCTCGCCTGCTCCATTTGTGCCTGAGGGTTATCATACGTCCCATCATGGTGTCTAAACAAACGCCTGAAAGTGCTGTCGAACTCTGTAATGCTGAGATCACCTTGTCGGAACTCTAAGTACTCCTGCCTCTTCCTCAGTCTGTAGTTGGGGCTTAGGAAATAAGCAATAAAACGTTTTCTGAAAGCAGCCCAAGTCATCCAGGAACCAGGTGGACGAGAATCCTTCGCTGTTTTGCACCAACTTCTAGCATCACCCTGGATAAAGAATCCTGCAGTACTCGCCCACTCATTTAGAGGACACTTCATAGCCTCTAAAGTATCCTCCATTTTCTCCAACCACTGCTCAGCCTCCTGGCCATTCCCCACAGTTTTTAAATCAGTAACTCCATGACTTCTGGCAATCTCTATATACGTCCGATTCGGTCTATGACCCGGAAGAGCATTCATTAAAGCATTAGTAAACTGCTGAATTCCCCCCATTATAGATGAACGAGGTCGTCGAGGCACATTCCCACTAGGATTAGCCATGATTCTGACAAGACAATAAGATTTTAGAAAGACTGAAATTTACCGAATTAGTGGAAAGAAACCCTAACCATGCTCTGATACCAATCTGACACGCCCCGACCCTGATATTCTTCGAATATCAGGATAGACACGTGCTGGCCGACACCCAAGGTGACGAAAGCCATTAATTGATTATAAGAGTAATGATTAGAAGAAAATATTCATGAATAACATCAGAATTTAAGAGTAATAAACAACGTTCAAGGAAGTGTCTAGAACAAACTAGACACAATTTAAAACGAGATTTACAAAAAAAGAAAGAACATTACAAGATATCACACAAGTGGGTGATAGTGCTACTGGTAGGGGAATGCCTCGTACGTCCAGTCGTAGTCCTCGTTTCTATGACCTGAATGGGGGCGCAAAACAAAGGTGAGTGGACCAAGTTCATATATACAATAATAATAAACAGTTATCAACATACTAACCCCCACAGTTTATATATAATGAAAACTACTAGCATAATAAGTGATGGATTTAATAAAAATCCCAGCATGCCAAAATATCTCAAAAGTCACATCGCGGAAACGCATCGTGGAAAACAAAACAGTAAACATATCATAAATCGTCTCATTAACGCGGTGTGCTGCTAGAAAGATCATTGAATAATTAAACTCCCGGCCCAATGCCTGCTCCGTGGTCTCTGCGCCCGTAGCCAGAGATTACCAACTCCCGGCCCAATACCTGCTCCATGTCCCTCAGCCTGTAGCTAGGGATTATTTCTCCCGGCCTAAATGCCAACACCAGTTCCTCGCCCCAGGCGGCATAGTGTCTACTAGGTATGCACAATTATTTACGCATCTCATAAAAATCACTTCATAGCATAGATTACCGATCATCGTCTACACTATAAAGAGGGCTTCAAAAACATGTTCTAGCATCCTATCGTCATCTATCGGATAGTCTACCAGTTCATGGTTTTTATAGAAAATACGATATATTAAAATATAGCTCAAAATAGGCTAACAATTAATTTCTCACCAAAACACGAGACGATAATCAATAAATTCATTAAACAGGATTGATATAAATCAATTCACAAAATTCGTAGGCATGCTAATCATTTATGCAATTACTATAAAATCATGTAATTTTAGAAGGGGTCCACTCACAAATATTCCTTAGCAGAAGAGTCGTGCGAATAAGGATATAGAATTTCTCCACTAGCAACTTTACCTAAGAACAAGAATGTAATTAATAAATAAATAAAAAGGATTCTCTAAAAGATTGGGTTTGAATTAAATAAAATAAGGGAATTGGGTTTGGATGGGTTTAGGGTTTTAAATGGATTTTAGAAATTCTAGGGTTTTGGGTAAAAAGGGTATTAGGGTGAGAATTGAGGTTTGGGCTTAAGCCCAAACATATACACACACTACAAATACACACACACACACACACAACACCAAAATTACAAGGCCTTAAGGCCTTAATAAAAAATAACAGGGCTTTAAGCCCTTTTTAAAAGAATCGGCCCAAGGCCAAATTAAACTAGGGCCCGAGCCCTTATGGGTTTTAAAACCAAATAACAAAACATTAAAAACTAAAGGGGCTAGGTTTTGGGCTTTAGTCAACACGGGCCTAAGGCCTGAGGGAATGAAATGGGAAGGGCCGGATGGCCTGTGCCGAGGAAGAAGAAGGCCGGAGCTGCTACAGCTTCGGTCACCTGAAAACGGGGGCTTCAAGCTCCGATCTAGGTACGAACATGAAGAACAAAGAGAGAGGAAGAGATTTCTACCTTCCAAACACCGTAACTCGGTCGAAGGTGACCGGAAAAGCCCACGGAGTGCACGGGTTCGTCGAAAAAATGGGTGTGCTCACCCACAACGATTCCGAAGCAAATCCTACGTAAAAAAGGAAGGTTCAAGCTTCTAAATCACAACCGAACATCATGCTAGGTACAAGAACGAGGGATTCGAGATTTACTCGACGGGAAAAATGGAAGAAAACTCACCGGAGCTTTGCTCCGTGTCGTCGGTCTCGCGGGCAGGGGAAATCCGGGGCTTGCTACAAGCCTCTCCTGAGGGTGGTATGGTCTTCGTGAGTCCAGGAGGAGAGAGAGAGATGCGAGAGGTTGAGAGGGAGAGAGAGATACACGGGAGAGTGAGAGAGCTTCGGGAGAGTTGAAAGGGAGAGGGAAGAAGAAGGTCACGGGGGTGGGGGACAAGGAAGAAGAAAAGAAAGGGGGGGGGTTTGATGATTGACACGTGGCAAATGGGGGTGAAAATATCAATAATGTAATTATTTGGGGGTGGTTGTAACAAAAACTCATGAATTAATTAATCTTGTGCTTTATTAATGAGTTAATGTTGTTACATTATCTATTCTAAAATTGAAGGGGGGACGGTACTGTAGCGGCCTCATTCTTTGCCACTCGATTTCACCCTATTTACAACAATACGGCCGAATTGCTTGGGTTGGGAGGGTAATTCTCAAAATTTCAGAGGGTAATTTTGTCCATATGGCTTATCAGGGAGCCACTCGATTTCACGCTATTTACAACAAAACCGTGAGGTTTGGGTTGGTATTGAGGCTGGGTTGGAAGGGCAATTTTATCCTGTGCGTTTGAGACGGATTGGGGTGGGTTTGAGTTTGCTGACATTCAGTGAGGGTTTAGGGGATGGGAGGCCATGCCTCCGAGAGAGAGAGAGAGAGGGAGAGAGAGGGACAAATAGCGAGCGATAGAGAGAGAGAGGGAGGGGGAGAGGGAGAGGTTAGGATGTTAGTGCCCCAATGTTTGATATGGTGACTGGGTGGATGACAGTGAAAGAAAGAGGATGGGTCGTCCGGATTACGGGGAGAGAAACAGAGAGGGAAGGGTGGGGATGGTGAACAGGCCCAAGCATGGTCCCTCAGTCCGGGATTCACTCCCGATCGTCCATGCCCTGTTGCATGTTCAGATAAGTCTCTTTTTCATTTGGATTTTGAACTAAAATCTTAATTTTTTATTATTTCTTGCATTTGTATCTGTTGGTATTTTTTAGTACGTTAGGTCAGGTTTTGGGGATTCATCTTTCTATTTATTCCCTTATTTGTTTCATTTTCTTTCTTTTTGGGATTCATCTCTCTGTTCTGTCTGTTTGTTCTTTTGTTTTAAGGTCAGTTTTTTTTTTTTTTTTTGGGTTTTCAGTTTGTTAATATGTGATTCTGTGTTTAGATTTTTCTTTCGTATATGATTAAATTGTTAATGGGTATTGGTTGTTGAAATATTTTTTTTTTGGAGAGAATTTGTGTTTGGTTGCCGGATTTGATTTGGTTTTTGCTTTCAGGAAAACTGGGGTTCGAATTTTGGGGTTTTTGATGTGGGTTTGGTTTCTTTCACCACAGTGATGTTTGATGTTCTTCTTCAGGTGCTTCTTAGGGATGTTGGAGTTGGGAAATCAAGTCTGGTGTTGCCCTTTGTAAAAGGACAATTCGTTGAATTTCAGGTTTGTTCTATATCTTTCAAAGGAAGTATTTTCTTTTTATCCATACCTCTACTTTTATAGTAAGTTATTACAGGAATCAATTGCCACCCATGGTGGTATATTTTTTACAACAAATTTGAAGCAGCGAATAAAATCGCACTTGCTATTTGTTCTGTCAATTGGACTAATAGTGTAGAACTATAGAAATATCTGGTGAAAGCAATGAAGAAATCACTATGATTGATCTTCAAATAAGCTCTAATAAGTTACAAGAGAGAAGCTAGAGAGAGAAGTCTACACTTCCCTTTCGAAGAGAGAGAATTTTTTTTTTCATTACTTGAACTGGATTCTTTCCATACATCAACTAATGCAGCTCATCAACAACTAAACACTATTAATTAACTTTAGTACAACTGAATGATTTAATTGTCTAACTTAATCATGGCTGAGTTGGCACTTGATTGAGCTCTAGACTAATATAGTAATCTGGTACAATATAGCCGATGCTAACATCTGGTTCTGTCTAGACTCTAAACCACATCTTTAGTCGTTATATATGTGTGTACACATCACTTTAAGTAGATTTTTACTTACTTTTGGGCTTTTAAATTCATTTTTTATCTGCATTACTTTATGTACACATTATACATGAAAGACTATTAAATAACATTTTTCTTTCTCCAGTGGTGGATATGGTAATTCCATGAGAGCTTTCTAAGTTCATTGTCTTTATGTTGACTCACACTCATTGGTGTAACATCTTATTTGGAGGGCTATTGTGATTTTCTCACAGAGGAAATGTTGCTGCAAGCAGTAAAAGTTGGGCAGGTTGTTACTTCTTTTGAGTATGTGGTCTATGTGTTGCACGAGTTGTATTATTTGTTGTGTTCTGTAATTTTTTTATGCTATTTGCTGTTCTAAACTTTTGAACTCTTTTTCGGATTAATCTTTGTTATTTTTGTTTTTGGGGGTATCTGATATGCCAAGGTTGCCAAATCTTGGTTGTACTTTTTTCCAAGGCAATGGCACATTTGAAACTTTGAATTCTTGAGTTTATACAAATTTTAATTCTCATTAGTTAATGCTTAATATTTGGCCTTTTGTTTTGAGATTAGAATGAAATCATTCTATTTTTTTGGTGTATTTTTAAGTGAGGTTTGGGATATGGTATACATTTGGCCTATGTGAGTGACACTTTGCCTGAGGTTTAATTAGCTCATCAAATCTCTTTAACCTCCTTAGTTATATATTCTAAAATTGAAGGGGGGACGGCACTGTAGCTGCCTCATTATTTGCCACTCGATTTCACCCTATTTACAACAATACCGGCCGAATTGCATGGGTTGGGAGGGTAATTCTCAAAATTTCAGAGGGTAATTTTGTCCATATGGCTTATAAGGGAGCCACTCGATTTCACGCTATTTACAACAAAACCGTGAGGTTTGGGCTGGTATTGGGGCTGGGTTGGAAGGGCAATTTTGTCCTGTGCGTTTGAGACGGATTGGGGTGGGTTTGGGTTTCCTGTCATTTAGTGAGGGTTTCGGGGATGAGAGGCCATGCATCCGATAGAGAGAGAGAGAGAGAGAGAGAGAGAGAGAGAGAGAGAGAGAGAGAGAAAGAGAGAGAGAGAGAGAGAAAGAGATAGAGCGACAGGGAGAGGGAGGAGTGGGGATCTCAGCACCATTGCTGCAGATCCTCGATTTCATGAGTGGGAGAGATGTTTGTAGATTTTTTTCCCACTTTTTGAGGGACGGATGGACAGGGAGAGAGAGAGGGAGGATTGGGGTGCGTTTTTTGGGGTTAACGGGCTACCCCACGGGGTTGGTGAGTAGAGGATGTCTGGGGGAGGTATGGGAGAGGAGAGGGTTTTCAGTTTTGTCATCTGATTCAACAGGTAAAACATTGTTCAGAAATCATTATTTATTGTTTGTTTCCCATTTGCTTTGTTAAAACTATGATTGACATTTTTTTGTTTCAGCAAAATTGTATTGGATGTTTATAGCCTGTTTAGTTGGGTGTTAGGAAGATAAGTCTGTTTGGTGCACTGTTTTGTACACTGTTAGCGTAAGGTTGTGTCTTTTAAACTTGGGATGTTGCACTGTGCTCATTTCTGTTTTCTTCATGCTTTGCTGCTGTTTCCTTCTCAACAAGTTGAATTCAGGTTCATTTTCTGCTTTTCATCCTTTGAATATCCCTCTGATCATGTGCATTTCACTGTTTTGGAGCATTGCAAAATAAATACAATACACAATCAAATTAGGAAAAGATAAAGGAACATGCTTGATGACTGATTGGTTTATGGATTAGTAGTATTATTTGTGGTGTAGATCATGGTTTTCAGGTCTTTTACAATTTTAGTGGTTGTGCTTAAGGGTAGATGATGATGATGTAGGATGGAGATAGTTTTTAGAGAATGCTGGATATACATTCGTTAGAGTACGTTCAAGTAGTTTTGTGTTCCTGTGAGGTATTTGGTATTCCTCATAGTTTCGTTCTTGACCATATTCCTTCTCGAATAATCATCGATAAAATGTTTCCTTGAGCATCTTCTTTAAATTTGTCTTTTATATTTGATCCAATTATGATTTTCCCTACTTTTGTGTATTTATAACCGGAAGAAGTGATTTTTCTAATTGTGATAATTGTGCCCCATGTTTTGTTGAGGACTTTGATATTCTAATTTCTTCTTGATAATACATCATTTTTGTAAGCGTATACGGGTACTTGTTTTTCGGGATTGTTTAAAGATCACATGCTTTACTGAATCTGAAAATAGTGACCACTGAAAGCTTTGACCCCTTCAAAGGCCTATGGAACTGAAAGTATTTCTTTGTGGTTAATTACTGACAGAAGTTTAAATTGGGAAAAGAACATGCAAGTGGATTACTGGTTTATCATGAATATGATTTTCAATTTGTTGGTGCTTTAACAAAAACGTGTCCTTAACTGTAAGAGGAATCCTACTTTGTGACTTTTGGTTACCGATTTATGATGAATATGATTTTCTTAGCTTATTATCAGGACAATGTTAATTTCACTTGATTATTTCACATTTTCCAGGTCAATCTTTGATTTTGAGTCTTTCCGAAAGCTGCTATCATCTCCAAAATCCTTATTCTGGTATGTAGATAGCTGCTAAGTGCCGCAACTCACCAAGTTTGGCCACATGCCTTCATTGTAGCATATGCCCTTTGTGACAAGTAAGCATTAGAATTCCACTTTGTAGCACATGCCTTCATTCTAATAGTCTTTGGTTCCCATACTTTCCAGAATTCGTTTTCGATCTTAATAATAGCTACTATATTACTTGGAATTGTCAATGATTTCAGTTCTTCTTTTTCTTTTCTTTTTGAAAATTATGGGTGTGAAGTTTGATAACCCAGTTTAACAAACAAATATATTGAACTTTTCAAACAGACTTTACATGTATCCCATAGATTTCTCCTTTTCTTTTTCTAATTGTTTGTTGCCATGTTGAGAAAAAAAATTATATTAATGGCTGTTCATTTACCTCTGTAGTATTCTATTTTTATTCTGATTTCCGCTGGTTCTTTAAATGGTGTGGTTTTTCAATTAGTTAACACTTTTGAAAAATTGAAACAATAGTATAGTTCTAAGTGTAATCATTTGATTAGTCTTCCTTTTACCATAATTTATGGAGACCAAGGATTTAACCATATACAAGGCCCAGCTATATGGTTTAATTCTATTTGCACCTGGT